AATGCTATAAATTATGCAATTCAAACAACAAAAAAGCACGACTAGTCATGAATGTACATCCACCGTCATGTGAGATTTAAATATTCTCTTCAACCTGCCATCACCAAGAATTACGTGATTGGTAATACAGTAACATTATGACCGTATAGTCCGTTATACAAGAACTGAGGACGCAGACTTATGAGGAATTCAATAATAAAACAACACTCCCTCCCCCATCCCGCTTGACAGTAGCACCGGAAATCGCTGAAATTGACATAATTATGTTCAGTGGTACATGCTAGAATAGATTTGACGTATTTGAGCGATGGCATACCATACTGAACAACCCAGAACTAAACGAAATGAGGACACCCTTTGGGAAGGCACGGAACATGGCCACACTGGTAGGAAATCTCATCGAATTAGAGCGTTATCAACCATCTCCAATATTTTCTGCTTTTGCATTGTTGAGGGCAATGTTGGCTACCCTGCCTACCCACATTTATACATTTAGATATCGGCTAAAATCGATAGTAAACACGTGTTTAAATATTTATATCCTCAACAGTCTATAGACTAGTTAATGATTGGTTAGCATATTCAATTACCAGGAAATATAGATTTATTACGTATCTTTACCGATTATTACAGGGAAACATTATTATCACTCTACAAACAGCTATAGTCCCTTGTAAAAATGGTTCACCAATCTCTGCTAGGGTTACTGCCATCTCTATGTTTTACACACCAACTTTTGGACTTTGAAGGAATTATTAGTGAGCAGAAATTCGCCCATGTATCTGTTACCACCCGTCACTTCAGTCAGTTATATAAAGGGATAACCCGTGTTTTCCTTTTGCGTTCGTCACTTCCGATTGTTGAAACATTGATTACGCATCTATCGTAGCAATGATCTCTGTGATAAAATAACATTTGGCACGCGTTTAACCAGTTCTATCACATATGTGATAATGACTGGCACCAATATTGTGCTTTAAGCTCGAAATGTTAATCATTGAACTTAATCAAGACATTCACCTAATAAGCATCTACATCATGTTAAAACATTCTACCTCAATTAAAAGCAGAGTTGTTCTGTTTCAAAGTCTTGACCAATCAAATTGCTTGTCTCACCTTAGCCTAAGCAGAACATTCTCATCATCGAACTTAGACAAGGTAATGATATAATGAATCTATACTCAGAGTTTCATCACTCTCACTTATATCATCAACCAATCAGATTGCTTATCTTTGTTTACAGTAAGGAGACAATGTTTATCATCGAACTAGATCAAGGCATTCACCTAATGAACGCCTACCTCAATTAGAAGGCGAGTTACTGTGTTCCAAAGTCTCGGCCAATCAAATTGCTTATTGCTCTGCTTACCCTGAGTAGAAAGTGCTCATTATCGAACTTAGTCAAGGTATTTATGTGATAAAACTATACACCAAGTGTCCTCACTCTCACTAAATTAGAACTAAAGTAATCGTGTCCCAAACACCAATCAATCAAATTGCTTATCTCTGCTTACCCTAAGCAGAAAATTCTCATCTTCATACTCCATCAACGCATTCACCTAATAAACACCTACGCTAAGTGTGAACATTCTAGCTCAATTAGAATGAGAGTTATGGCTCTGCTTACCCCAGCAGAAAATGCTCATTATCGAACTTAGTCAAGGTATGTATGTAATAAAACTATACACAAAATTTCATCACTCTCACTTAATTAGAACTAAAGTTATCGTGTCCTAAAACATCAACCAATCAAACTGCTTACCCTTTGCAGAAAAAGCTCATCTTCGAACACCATCAAGGCATTGATCCAATAAACACCTACACCTAGTTTGAACATTCTACCTCAATTAGAAGATAGTTATTGTGTGCCAAAGTCTCGGCCAATCAAATTGCTTATCGCTCTGCTTAACCTAAGCAAAAAATGCTCATTATCGAACTTAGTCACGGTATTGATGTAATTGAACTATACACCAAGTTTCATCACTCTCACTTAATTAGAACTAAGTTATCGTGTCCCAAGCAGAAAATGCTCATCTTCGAACTCCATCGAGGCCATGGCCTAGTAAACCCCTACACCAAGTTTGAACATTCTAGCTCAATTAGAAGGAGAATTATTGTGTCCCAAAAAAAGTGACGGACAGACAGACGGGCGAGCCCATTTTAATAGTCCCCTGCTTTCTTCGAAAGTCGGGGGACAATAAATAATATCTAACCCTTCGGTTGAGACAAAAATATAAGATCGGACGAATCATACAATTTTCCGTTACCTGCCTAGTTTTCATACACGCGAATTTCCAGTACGATGAAAATAATACGCAAAAAATGCTGTTTTTATTTCCCACATGCGGATAAATAGCATGACATAAATACGTGTGGACTTGCGCCTGTAACCGGGTATGAAAATATATTTTAATCTTATTTACTTCTACTTCTAGGAATTTATTAAAGCAATAGATATGTTTTATTTATTGATTATTTGTTGCATATCATAATCAAATTTTATCCATATGGTGGATTAACACATCGGGAAACAGAATAAGAAAATAAAATTTATTCAAGTTCTGAACATGTTTAATTTATTGATTTATTCGCATGGCTGCCATGTTGCATATCATAATCAAATTTTATACATATGGTTGATTAAGCTACCAGGAAACAGAATGAAACAATAAAATTTCACGGCAAAAAGTATATAGAGTTAGTCCAGCCCTTATTTACCTTCTCAATTCACAATTATAATACCAACTTGACAATGGGGTCCGCCGTCGACATTCCACGCTAGGTGGCGCGCGTGTATTAGGGGGGATACCTATCAACATGGCAGACGACTACCGACTCGGCTTTTGAAATGTTCTGAACACAAACGTGGTCATATTTTCAACCTGGCTGGACTGCTGGAGGTTTAGCTGGGTATAGCCTAGGCCTCGCTATGCCAAATCAAAACAAACCGGCATGGGAATTCCCGGATATGACCTGCTAAACCTTTGACCTGCCAAACGAGCTTGCGAACAATACCTGCTTTATGTTATTAGAATAAGTAATTCTAGGAAGTTTAAATGAATTATTTATGAATATTAATCATGCGTGGAATCAATGGAGGAAACAATAATAGGGTACCGGTAGGCGTATTTAATCTACTATAGTCTAGGCCTTGCTGGTTGTAATAATTTTATAAGCTTATTCATATGTCTATTATTATTATTATGTTAACCACTTTCGTTATCGTGGCCTATGTAAGATTTTGCCGATAACTTTGAATTTTATAGTTTGGTATGTGATATAATGTGTGGAAATAACAATAGGCTATGTTGTTAATGTAAGCCTTGTTGCTATTTTAAAACTAACACATTTCGATATGAAGACCCTAAAATAGCCGTAATTTTAAATTCACTAAAAGCTGTGTGAAAAAAATATTGACATTTGGCATGTAGGCCTGGTCAACTTTTTAAGTCCATTAAAGGAGCCAAGTCTTCTACATTGCAAACATGACTTTTTGTTCAATTTAAATTAACATTGAGGTTGTTATCTTACCGTGAAAAGTTGGACTTCTTATCCAATATTTTAGACAAAATGAAAATTTTAAAATTAGCACACGAATCGCGTACCCTAGGCTGCTTTTGAGCGCCATTTGGATGAAGCAACTCGATGAACGAGGCTAAACATATCTCATGTAGGAGAATACTACCGGTGTAGACTGGAATAACCAGATTCCAAAGACTGCCATTCAATTCAGACTCTTTGCATATTTCGCCAAAAATAACTGATTAGAAATTACAATAAAAACAGAAATGATTGAATGTAAATCAGTTTACATACATTCATATTACATTATCATATGTGTTGCGACCCATTTGTTTCCAATTATAGATGCCATAGAATAGCGTTTTAGCTCCTTTAAATGTTGTTTTTTTTCTTTCAGATTAGAATCGTATGACCGCAATGACAACTTCAGGGGGCCTGTCATTATTCTTCCTGATATGGTAAACACCGAATGGCCTATCACTGGTTATCAACAGTTAACTAATGAACACAAAGAGCATTTGCCTGTAATTAATTTCCATCAAATTGAAGGCTATCTCTTATACAGAATGGCAGGTAGATAAAGACCTCTATATCTTTCATTTTTAGTAATGTGTGTGTGTATTCTGAATTTGAATAGTTCAAAAATAGTAATGGAAACTGAATATATTGAAAATTCATTACAATTACTTTATTCTGACTCTGAAGTCTGAGCAATGTAACACGACTGTTTGAAGATACTGTGTAGGTTGTTCATTGTTGTAGCAATTATACTATAGGCTTGTTACGTCCACTCAACACAAACTAGATCACTTTGGGACTAAAATATGGTTCAATTTTATTTCAATAAATCCCTTGCGCATAGGGGGTCTATAGCTGTTAACCACCCCCACCCCATCTTAATTAATGCATACGGTACTTAAATCACTAATTATGAATATGGTCATATCATAAACAAATATTGTTTTTCATTTAAAAGAGGATAAACAAATATCTGGAGATTTGAAGGCCCTTCAAATGGGAAAAGATATGGCGGATGGTGGGAGAGTGCTTGCTTGCTCAGTTATACTAACTGCAAGCGATACATATTTCAGTGGCATAGTTGGTGCTGCCATGAAAAATAAGGTAAATCATGTTATTTTACAGCACAGTTTAAGGCTAGGTGGTACATTACTCATCACACTTAGTTATGCTTTTAACTAGAGACTGATGTGACAACAACCTTGACCTCTTAATTTAGAGGCAATCCAAATTGTGGGATAAGAAAAAAAAATTATGTTGACCACTTCTAAAGACCCCTACGCGCAAGCGAATTATTGAAATAAAATTAAACCATATGTTAGTCCCGAAATGACCTAGTTTGTGTCACGTGGATGTTAAACCCCATTTCTCTCTCTCTCTATCTGGTACAAATGTAACATACACCATCTCCAACAATGATCCATATTATTCATTTGAAAATTCTTGTCATATTAAAGGTGACGTACAACTACAAGCTTAAAATCCACTCAACTGGTGACCCCATTACTTCCCATTGTGAATGTCCAGCAGGCAAGGGGCCACATGGTACATGTAAGCATATTGCAGCAGTTCTATTACTTCTGCAATGGTTCACAGAGACGGGCGAAATTAAAGTAAAGAAGTCATGCACTGAAAACATTCAAAAATTTCATAAACCTAAAACCATGTACGAAGGTAAATATTGTTATTTACACACTAATTCAAATTAAAATCTAGCAGAGATTTGTTATTTTGAATTTAAATTGAAATACCCAAGATTTGAATTTAATATGCATCGGAATAGCTCAAATGAAAATGCTTGTGAATTTTGTTTAAAATATTAAAATTAAATGTAATAAACTAATAAAATATGTGTGCTACTTAAAAGTGACCCAAATATGGTTTCTTAAATTTTAGGATAAGTATTTATTACAAAAATTTTATTACAGGTAAGCCGGTCTTCTCAGAGGAAATTCCGACAAAAAGAAAGTGTATGGATGAAATGTTGGACGATCCACGACCTATAAAACGTCGAAATAATGCTGGTTATACCGATTATGTCAGAAACCGTATGATCAATTATGTTCACCATTCCTCTCAAGATCTGGCAATGCGATATTTGTTTCCTGTAACTAACATTCAGGTAATGACTATATACAGAGGCGTAGCCGTGAAATATATATTGGGGGGGGGGGCCGCAACCCTAACCCCTAACCCTATTTTAAAACCCCTAAAAAATATAAACAAACACCATGTGGCCATGCTGTCCACACAACTCGTTTGCTGATTGGCCCACCGCGTGCAAAGTATTATGGTTATGTGGCTGGCTGAGCGGGCGATAAATATTTGGTTTAGGCGATAATGTTTTTGGGTACCTACATGCGATTCACTCTGATAAGTGGCAGAAAAAAATTAACTAGACATAATTTTATGGAACACAGTTACTTTTCACTTCACACATGTTTCAAGGATGATTCTCTCTGTGTTTTATTTTAGCAATGTAAACCATATTGGGATATGTACAGATAGAATCTTAACTAATCCTAGTAATTGTTGTAAATAAATAGGAGTTAGGATCTACTATGTAAATTTTTTGGGGGGTCCAAGTATATTCAGACCCCCCCAGAAAAACAATTGTGACGCCCATGACTATATAGGGTGGTGCAGAAGAGCCCATAGATATTGTCCATGAGACACCAAAATAATTCCAAATCACTTTTAATTTTACAGATTGCAAGTGAAGACCATAAGTACCTGCCTTTGCCATTAACAGAATATTTGGTTGACAGAGCTATACAGGTAAATGCTATGATAGTTAATGTTTCAGGTTGAAATTACAACTATAATGTTTTTTTAGTGTGGGACAAACAACAAATATGCAGGGGTGGCCAGCCTTTTACATAACATGCACCAATTTATACATTTTTCCCAGTTTCATTTATTTAACATATTTTAAACTGAGAACAGAGTAATGTGAAAGGAGATAGCATACCTAAAAAGATGTGCACATAATAATAAAATCTCTAAAAATGAAGGGTAGTCTTACTGTATTATACTATTCAAAAAAAGTAGGGGATATTTGATTTTGGGGGCATAATACTAAAATATGCAAATGACTACGAACAAAGTCACTATAGAACCTAACAGAAGAAACATTTCCAGTTACATGTGACGCCCAAACGCACCAATAGCTACCGCATGGAATGCATGTGATGCTTGGGATCATCATGGGGGTCCAACCCAAGATTTGCACGACTCTGACTTTGAATGTTTCAGTCATTGTGGCATTGAATTCCAGGGTGGAAACATCAGTTTAATTGTTTTAGTGACCAGAAAACAAATTTTGATATGGGTCGGCTTACCCAAAATGAAAGGTTACGTGCCCTTGGCATGCTACAGATCGGCACAACACAGGCGGTTGTGGCGCGGACGATGAATGTTTCTCAGTCTGTCATAAGCAGGCTATGGTCCAGATACCGTGATACACAATCTGTACAGGACAGACCACGCTCAGGTCGACCAAGGGCGACAACGCAAGCCCAGGATCGATTTATCTGTACCTTGGCCTTGAGAAATCGTGTCATCACAGCAAATCAGATCAGCGCTCGTCTTCAAACAGACACTGGTGTGAGAGTGAGTGGCCAGACGATTCGGAATCGACTGCATAGGGGTCACCTTCGCGCCCGACGTCCTCGCGTGATCCCTTGTTTGAGAGATCATCACATTCAGGCAAGACGTCGTTGGTGTAGGGATCGTCAACACTGGGATAATCGACGCTGGAGCAATGTGACGTTTTCAGATGAGTCAAGGTTCACTGTTGATTTTTTGGACAGACGTAGGAGGGTGTGGCGTCGTCGAAACGAGCGCTTCCAAGACGTTAACGTCATCAGACATGATCGATTTGGGGGTGGTTCTGTTATGGTGTGGGGAGGCATCACTGTTGCTGGAAGAACGGCTTTACATGTTGTTGCAGGGCGTGTTACAGGCCAGTACTACCGGGACAACATCTTGGCAGTCCATGTTGTGCCGTTCGCACGACGTCATGGCCGCCGTTTCATCTTCCAGGATGACAACGCAAGATGTCACAGGGCCAGGATCGTTACAGGTTACCTCCAACAACAGAACATCACCACATTACCTTGGCCAGCACTGAGTCCCGACCTCTCCCCCATCGAGCATGTCTGGGACATGCTTGGACAGAGGTTACGTCAACGTCAACAACGTCCTGCCAATGTCCAAGAACTTGCTGCTGCGTTGCAACAGGAATGGGACAATCTGGACCAAAATGACCTTAGACGTCTCATTAGGAGTATGCCACGTCGGATCAATGCTTGTTTGGCAAACAGAGGAGGATTTACCCGTTACTGACTTGGTTGTGATGCTGTGGTAACTTTGCTGTTTGACCCCGGGTATCATTTTACCCTTATAATGGTCAGTCTGTCCCTTACTTAGTCTAACGATCATTTGGAATAAATCGATGAATGTGAACTTCATTTCATTTTGTCATTTGTTTCTTCGTCAGTTTCATTAGGTGACTTTAATAACACTTAAAAATCAAATATCCCCTACTTTTTTTGAATAGTATATTATTACAAGGATGCGATGAGCCATGTTTGATGACCCTTGATTTAGTACATCGTTAAACCCCATTTCATTTTGTGTACAAAAATGGAAAACATTTCACAACCTACCTTACATGTGGTATTTTAAATCTTTTCCAGGTTACGGACCAAACAATAGAAGAAATAGAACAATATACAAGAAAACAGGCAAAGTGTAAACTGTGGTATAATGAAAGAAGGTGGAGAGTAACAGCCCTCGCGTTTCGGGGATGTAACTAAAATGACTTGTCGCAGGAATATTAAAAAACTATGTTCAAGCGTATTCTCTTTCAATAAAATTAATACCATGCCAATAATTCATGGCAGACAACATGAAAAAGATGCTGTCAAACATTTTAAGTCTTTGACTGGGCTAAAAGTCACGCCAGCAGGATTATTTCTTTCTTTTGATTACCCATTTTTAGGTGCATCCCCGGATGGAATCATAGATGAAAATACAATTCTTGAGGTTAAATGCCCCTTCAAAGGTAGAAATGATCAGATCAAACCTGGAACATCTTTCCCATTTTTATGTTATAATTCTATGAATGAATTTGTGTTAAATTGCAACAGCAAATATTATGATCAGGTTCAGGGCCAGTTATTAATAACAAAAAGAAAACTGTGTTATTTTATGGTTTATACACATTGTGATACTTTTATCCAAAAAATTCACATTGATAATAATTATTGTGATTTTTCAATGTTACCCAAGTTGCAACTATTTTTTACAAAAAACTATAGGCCATTTGTTGCATCTCAAATTTAGATATGCTGATGGTTCACTGCTCTGGAAAAAATTGAAACTAAATACAAGCTTAAAGTCATGTATTAAAACTTAAAATTGAATAATGTACTTGTATACTGTGAAATTAAACTCAACTCTTTACTTGGGTCAGATAATAGAAAACAAATTCTAATGACAATTACGATAAACAAAAGCCTTCTATTTTACTCCTCGCTTATTAATGGTAAAACATGTGAGTTATAAGGTTTTCCAGGATATTGACAATATTCAGATTTTGTTAGTTTATGGTAGCATTTGAAATTTGACTTTCAACTGCAAAGAGACATAATTGGTTGTTTTATGGTAAATGTTAATCCATTTGCCTCTGAAATTTAATCTATACATTAAAAGATACATAATACAAAAACTAAATTATATAGGATGTTATAATAGCTGTACACCATCGCAGTGTATGCCAGTGTTTTTGTTCAAATCACGTAATGAAGATAAAACTGCTTGAATGTGATTTTTCAATGAGGACTCTTTTAAGACCTATCACGACAGCAAGTTTAAACACCTCACATATTTAAGTAATTTAAAATAATGATAGGTTATGTACATGTACATTTTTCAATGCAGCTTATTAACTGATTTAGTACACTTAAGATAAATTCCCAAGAAACTATGTATCGTGTTGTTATTTCCAATCAAAGGATGGAATTTCGGTTGACCAGTGTATGGAAAATATTGGATTCCTAAAAAAAAGCCTTGATGGACGCACACAAGACAAAAATGTGAACATATCGTTTAATGTTACGAGCGCTTATATGTTAATCTAATGGCTAATGGTTATGGGTAGACTGATAGAATTAAACATCCAGTAGACTTTGCGATTAAACAGCAGAAAAAAATGTTGGCAGAGGGTAATCCATGAATTTGAATTTACTATGGTTTCAATATTAACGACAAATACAAGCTAAAAATGGATGCTCACTCAATCAAGTCACATGATAACAAGGATGATAAAAATAGATTCTCACAAGATTGTGAAGTTTTCTTCAAATTAAAATGTTCAGAGGGAGATCTGAAGCAAACATTTAATAGATAAATTAGTTTGAATATGTTTTTACTCCAAATACATCATCGAATCACACAGTTTTTACGGGGAAGGCATCGTTAACTTCTAATATTCATTCGGCATTGGATTGAAACATGCATTATGTAAGAACTAAATCTACCTATTACAAGTCTTTTTTTTGGCTTAAAATGTTATAAATAATTATTTAGACATTTATCGACCTGACAAGCCTATAATGAACTATGTAAATCGCCGGATGGCAGAGATTTAAACCGCTTGAAATGCATTTGCAATTTAATGATTTAATTTAAAAATGGACTCTCTATTAACAAGTAATGTTGCTACTGTAATAAACAATATTTGCCACATGTTGTCAAAACAGTGATAACTTGGCTCAGAATAAAGTAATCTGAATGAAATTTTCAATAATTAATTTTGAATTATCTATTTTTGAACTATTATAGCAATAATGGTTAGCATTTGATCTGATTCTTACATAATGTGTTTTTAACCTATATAGGCCTATTGAAATCAACAAATTTGATGTATGAAATGTCTGTTAATGTTATATAATAATATATACAACACAAGATTGTTTTAGTTTTGTTTCATGCAAATTTATCCACAATTGATGGTCTGAAATTAGAAATAGAAAAACATATAAATACAACCCTTGATCCAAGTTTAAGTTTACTTGGAGGTAGTGGGGTGTTCAAAATCTTATATGTTTTGCTCAATCCAATAATGCGTTCTACGTGGATTCTTTTAGAAGCAATTCGGCGGTCTTTGATAACATCCTGTGGTTCAAGTTGGGATTTCCCTTTTAACATTGTTGGGGTATTCACAAAGACATTTTGTGATGCGAACAAATCTTGAACCATTATACCTCTGTCGGCCATGATGCTATCATGCGAGTCAAAAATATTCATATTGGGTTTAAGAAGGGAAGAAGACTCGATGATCTGACGATCACTGGCAGAACCCCCAAAAGAATTGCTTATAAAGGAAACTGCGCCTCTTGGTGTACAACCAATCATAGTTTTTAATGTGTTTTTGTGTTTATAACTGGACCAAGTCATACTTTGAGCATTAACATCAGATGGTTTTTGTACAGGTATTTCAGTAGCATCTAATATAACTCTAGTTTTCCCAAACTTTGACTTAAAATCATGTGGCATATGCATGTCAATAGTTTCCCTAGAAGGCCAAATTTGAAGTTCTTTTAACTGAAAATATAAAAAGTTAATCCACATTATAATTATTTTGGAAACACTTGTCTCACTAATTTCAAACATGAGACTAAGTTCATAATCTTCTTTACACTGCCGTAATTTCATTAATGTCAAAAAAAGTTGATCAGGTGGTGAAAGAAGAATACATTGATTGTTAAGTTCATAAGCAGCAGGGCCTAAACAATTAAAAAAGAACATAAAATGTATATAATTAGAAAAACCAGTATAATACAAAACAGCTTTATCATTATTTATATAGTTCTCAATCGAATATTTTCCTAAAATAGTACATTGAGTTGATTGAATCATTGAATTGTTAACTGTTGCTGTTGGTTCATCATCCTGAAGATCATTTTCCATACCGGTACTTGATGATACAGTGACTTCTTGCTGCACATCAAGCATGTAACAGCCAAGAATAGATGACTCTCTATCAATATGTGGGCGACTGGTGGGACGTGCAGGTCTAGTAGGCCTGTTGAAGTCGAAGATAGAAGGAACTACATCTTCTTTTAATCTTCCCCGTTCACCTGAAATATAAAATTATATTTTTTTAGTTACAGAGCAGAGTTAGTGTTTTAAGAATTATAGCATACAATTCATTAAAGTTTTAGTAGTACTAGTATAAATGACCCAATATTCAATTTATTTATATGGAAATTAATTTTAAAAAACAGTGGTAAGCGCACATCCATAAATGTCACATAGGAAAATGTGCACAATTTAAAGGGGGGTGATTTCAAAATAACTGAATTGTAAATTTTTACCAAATAATCAGGAGAAATGTTATTATTAGGTTATTCAAGTGAACACAATGCTTGCTCATAAAAGCATTGTATCAAAATCACTTTAAGTTGCAGTATTTAAACCCATGTTTGCTGTGGATTATATAAATTAAACTTTACAGCAGTGACACTCTTCTTGAATATAACTTTACTGTCATCGCATCCTTTATGTGTTGATACCTTGAACAGAAATTAAAAGAAACCACAAAGCAACAAGAACAGAAAGAAATATACCACAATTTATAAAACAAAGTAAAATTGAACAATTGTTGATAAATTTAATTGAGGAAATAAAATAATATTACAGCACCGGTAAGCGTATCTCATAATAATGAAAAAGTTAACCAAATTACCTATTTATACATTAAAAGCTTTTTATTTATAATCGAAATTGTCATAGAAATATATAACTAAGCTTCATATTAATATTGACTAATCTCAACATTTTTTCAAATTTTTTGGCTTAGGTTAAATTTTAGGCCTACTTTACTACTTAGCCTACTTTTCAAAGAGTGCTGAAATTGAATAAATTTTACATTCCTTAGGTGCTTGAAAATTCAACCTTTTATATTGCTACCGGTACCTTATTTAACACTAACACAGTAACAGTCGCCGTAACACTTACTCTGTGACTTATCCCCCCTAATATACGCGCGCCGCCTAGCGATCAAAAATATGACGGCGGACCCCATTGCGCATCGATTTTTATATGGCGGCACAATTTCTGGTCAGTTCCTGGCCCAGATACCACCTTTGCGTTCGGGCGATCAAGTTAAACTAAACAATCTTCGGGTCCTCTGGTTATCTTCCAAATAGATTATTGAAATAAAATAGTACTATCATTTCTCTCTCAACTGTCACGGGCTATTTTAGGTGCACGTCACATTTTGTCGTCCCAACTGAACAACTAGATGCTTTTTCTTGCCAGAACCGTTTTTATGTACCTCTGTATATCCCCACGATAACAATGTGCGATTGTTTTAATATATTGGCGGTGCTATGCCAATGTATATAATTGGATTTTATGCAAAGAAAACTCCTATCCGGTTTCCTGGCGATTTTCATAATAATGAGACAGAACGTGTTTTGTTATTCGCGATTGAAACAAAATTATTGCTTTTTCTTATAAATTTCATATCATCTTAACCGTCTTCTTAGTTTAATGCAAGCAAATGAAATGGACTGTAACGCACTACAATTTTGCACCGACTGGGCTATTAAAGACGGACATACTCCATACAGTGTGCTCTGAGAGCATTTTACCCGGGCAGTGACGCTACGGTTTATTTCGAATTCCAACTGTCAAGGTGCTCTTACGCGAAAGTCAATGTGTACACGGGACCTTGGTTTTTAGTCCCTTCCGAACGACTATACCTTGTCCCCTTGTCAGACCCCACAGCTACACCACAGACAAGGGGTTATGATCGAACCCGTGACATCCTGGTTAGCAATCACCGTCTCACTCACTGAGCCACTGTGGCTCCTATTTGATTTACGAA